TGCCACTACAGTCCCTGATGAAGAGTCCCTCCCCAGCATCCTTATAGGCCCCCTTCAGATATTGGAAGGCTGCTCTGAGGTCTCCACACAGCTTCTCTTCTCCAGGCTGAACAGCCCCAACTTTCTCAGCCTGTCTTCATACAGGAGGTGCTTCAGTCCTCTTATCATCCTCGTGGCCTCCTCTGGACTTGCTCCAACAGTTTCATGTCCTTTTTATGTTGAGGACACCAGAACTGTACACAGTGCTCCAAGTGGAGTGTCATGAGAGCAGAGCAGAGGGGCAGGATCGCCTCCTTCAACCTGCTGATCACGCTCCTTTTGATGCATCCTTAGGTTCCTAAGATGATCTCAAACCTGATCCTCTCCTACAGTGGGCCTAAGGTCTTCATTCTCACAGTCCCTGCATCTGCCTTCCAAGACTTGAGCACCGTGGTCAGAGCACTTGCCAGTGACGACTGAGACAAAGAAGTCTTGAGAACCTCAGCTTTCTCCAAATCCAAATCCTGTTTCCTTCCAGAGAGGGCCTATACCTATAGAACCCCTCCCTGTTACCTCTGACATCCCTGGCCAGACTCAATTCTAACCGGGCCTTATCTTTCCCACTCTGGTCCCTCACTTCCCTGTATTTTTCCCAGGCCACCTGTCTTCCCTTCTGCCTTCTGTAAGTTTTCTCAGTGGCTCCTTAGACATCTATGGAGGCCTCCTGTCCTTCTTGCCCCATTTCCTTCTTGTTGGGATGCAACACTCCTGAGCACGTAGCAGGTGATCCTTGAATATCAACCAGCAGTCTTGGGCCCCCCTGCCCTCTAGGACTATATCCCATGGAACCTTACTAAGCAGGTTCCTGAAGAGGCCAAAGTCTGCTCTCTTGAAGTCCAGGGCAGTGAGCTTGCTGCATGCTCTTCTCACTGTCCTGAGGATCTCAAACTCAACCATCTCATGATCACTACAGCCAAGGCTGCCCTGGAGCGTCACATTCCCAACCAGCCTCTCCCTGTTGGTGAGCACGAGGTCAAGCATGGCACCTCTCCTTGTCGGCACCTCTCCTTGTCAGCTCCTCTACCACTTGCAAGAGGAAGTTGTCTTCCACACAATCAAGGAACTTCCTGGATTGCTTGTGCTGGACCATACTGTCCCTCCAACAGATAGCGGAGTGGTTGGAGTCCCCCATGAGGACAAGGGCCTGCGAGTGTGAGGCTGCTCTTATCTGTCTATAGAGAGCTTCATCCACAGAGTCCTCCTGATTGGGCAGCTTATACAGACCCCCACAGCAATGTCCCCCATCGCAGTTCTCCCTTTGACCCTGACCCACAAATTGTCAGTTGACCCATCACCCATTCCCAGGCAGAGTTCTGCACTCTCCAGCCTATCACTGACATAAATAGCTATACCTCCTTCCTGTCTGCCTGGCCTGTCTTTCCTAAAGAGCCTGTAACCTTCCATTCCAACACTCCAGTCCTAAAAGGTCAGATTTGATTATTCCTTTTTATCAAAACAATAAAAGAGAGCCTAATACAAAAGCTCAAAACACCCTACCAGCCAACCAAAACCACTTAATACAGGAATTTTGTGGAATTTATGCTTTGGGAATCTGACATCAACCCCCAGAAACCTGGGTCTCAAAGCAAGAAGTGTTTGTTTCAGAAACTATTCTGGTCATTAAAGATGTTTCTACCCACTTGCTGAACACTATCCTTTAGATCCAGCTTAGTTCAAAATGCAGTGTGATTTAAGCCAAGCTAACTGAGTTAAGGCTGAGCTGAGTAGGAGCACCTATGCTCTCAGTTGTTAACACTCAGCTAGGGGAATATTCATCCCTTGGTGAAGAACAGCCACCTCTTAAACCACTCCAACTAGACCTAGAGGAGTTCAGCTGTTTACAGTACGTGTTACCTCAAGTCAGCAACAGGGAATAGAACTGAACCCAGGTCTTGTAAGGCACCAGCAAATTAATTTCTCACTGAATCTTTTTTTATGGCAAGGTTTCCCTTTAGTGACACAACACAAGTCATTGATAGCATCAGGAGAGAGATTGGATACTTCATTCCACTGATTCTCTTCCCCTCTCTGGTAGGAAAAGCAATAGGCTGCATAAGAACAGGTATTATTAGGGTCCAATAATGATTCAGGTCATTGCTAAATAGCAGTGGATGTTTAACTATACTGAGGTTAGAGAGAACCAGCAAAAGAAGCAATTCCAAGACAGGGAAATTAGAAATCTCTTCTGCTTTCTTTTTTCCTTTTTTTTTTTTTTTTTTGGATACCTGTGGTGCTGCAGAAATAAATGCAGGGCAGAGATGAAAGTCATAAACCCAGTTCAATGTAAGTGTTATCAGTTATTCAGTTATACGTGTGGTTTCACTTGAGATTCTGTCTTCCTTGTTTGGAGTATGAATGCAAGAAATGGGTACATTAGAGTTTAAAATGTCTGGCACCATTTAATTAAGTAAACTAAATCGAGAGCTTATGAAAATTGGAGCTTAAATAGCTAAACTACATCCTAAGCTACTACTTAAATAGTAAACTACATCCTAAATTGTCACTGGGAAATGTACACTTCTTTTTGCTGTTGTTTTGATTTAGCTGTCAAAAAAGTCATGTTTAAACAGTCTTTTCTGCCTCATGGCCAAGCCTCTTTGTGTGCATTTCCCCAACGTTACTTACTTTACTTTGAAGGTGGGCTGAGCATAGAAATCTGACGAAATAGTGGGTTGTGCCCTTGACTGGAGGGAGCTCTTACATTCTTTTGAATGACTACATTTGCTAGTGCAGTACACAGCAGCAGCAACAGTGTGGTGCTCTGGGGCTCCAGCTCTGCCTGGCAGACAAATCTCCAGCTCGCTGAACATCTGCAAGACAAATTTTTCATGTTCTGTAAATGAATGCTGCCTAACTGCACCAGGAAAATGGGCACAGGGGATTATCTCTGCATTGCTATGAGCGGAGGGGCGCCTTGGGGCTTTAGATTGCAAGGTGGCAAGGAGCAAAAGCAGCCTTTGCAAATCGCCAAGGTAGGATCATGAGAGAAAGATGTTATCAGTGTTTTCTGAACAGTTTGTTTAAATATATACTGCTTTCAGTGAAATGGTTGGTGTGGGTCTTATTACGATGCTTGTTTGAATGTGCTAACACGTTTTGCAGAGGTTCTACCAGCGCTGATTATGTTTGTGTCAGTAAAAGATTACTTTTTAGTAGTTTGGTAGCATTGCAAATATCATCTTAAATGTTAAAGGTTTGAAATAGTGAAATGATGTGTACCTTTCAGCTCCTGTTTGATTCACTGCAGGGTTTTGAATGCACTCAGCATAGCACGAAACTGAATCTCATATTAGGAAATGCTGTTACAGTCATCTATATATGATACTTTTTCTACTCTAGGAATAGAATAAATACAATTTTATCATGAGAAAATATTCTGACTATGTTGGGAATCCTGGAAAGCATTACACTGAGTTATCTCTGGTTTTGGAAAGTTATCCAGTCTTAGAATCAGCTTTAATAGATGCCAAACATTCCCTCTTCTATTTCATGAGCAACACTAAAAATTACTGAACACTTCATAATTATTTTCATGCACAAAATGAGAGCAAGACAGACAGCAGAAATTCAGAATAAATAAAAAATAGGAATTGGTAACCCCAAGTTGCAAAAATCATAGTTAAAAAGTAGTTTTGTTAAAAATCAATGTTCACTCCATTGCAACAGCTTCTCCACTGGTGCAACAATGAAGATTTGTCATGGTTACTAAGGCTTATGTAACTGTATGGAGCTGTATTCTGTTCTACTAGACAAGAAGAAGAAATTTTGTCCAGAGCTCAGAGGTCAGCAAAATACCACTGGCTGAAACGATACTGGGACTGATCATCATACAGTGTATTCTGCCTTGTTAAACTGAGGGAGAGAGATTAAAATGTATCTTATCACCTTTTAGTAGCTTGGTAGTCCAGCACATTGAGTGTTAAGTTTTTGTACTTTGATGTAGTATTTTAGAGCAGTAGTTTACCTATTTAAGCTCCAATTTTCTTAAGCTCTCAATATATTTATTAATTAGTTAAATTTAATTTACTGGATCAGTTAACCTTTTCACAAATAGCAGTAAGTCACAGTAAAAAACAGTAAATTACCTTATTTTATTAAAGAGGGTCCTTTTAGTTCTTGTGTCAAGGAAAGAACATCTTTCACTATTATTTTCGATGATTGCCAGCCCATATTATTACTCATATTCAGTAACAGAGCTATGATTTACTGAGTGTCTGTATCGTTTTTCTCATTACTGTTACATTTTCCGTTTGTTTTGATACTTTGCAAGACTTGGGACTTTTTTCCTACTGATGGGCAACTGTTGCTTTTTAAGTAAAGCCACTGATAACAGATGACAGCGGAATCCTGCCATCTAGTGAAAAATTGCAGCTAGAACTTAAAACATTGTAAGTAACGGTAAAAGGCAAGTGGCCCTGATTACGTAAAACCAAAAGTACAAAGAACAGTAGCTTGAACACAAGATTCTGATTAAGCTTTAAAATTGAATACTCACATCCTAGACTGTGGCACTTAAGTCTGGGTTTTGTTTTACCACTTAAATTTGGGATTTGAGAACTTGATACATGGTAACAGTTGTGCGTTACTTCTAATGGGAACATCCACCAGTGAAATATATCTAAATTTAGAAAAAGAATAATATGTATTTTTAGAAAAAAAAAATTCTCAAAGAAGCATGAGTTTGTGTTCTTGCAAATGATCCCAATCAAAAGGCCATGTAACACAATACTTCAGAACACCCTTTGTAAGAGTACGTGTGCATCAGCATATATAAATGTTATAAGCATGGTGAATTGGGTGCTGTATGAGATCCAGATCGCTCATTTCTCCACGCTTAAGAGTTGGTCAGGACCAGTAAGATTTGAAAATTGACACCAGTATCTGGCTGAAAACCTGAAACTCAGACTTGACAGGCTACAGCTTTCTCTGGGACTCACTCAGCACGCTTTGCCATCCCCCCCAGGGAGCCAGGGCACTCTCAGAGGCACACAGACATGGGTCTCCAGGTCAGGCACCACTGTCAGGTTGAGGCATCACAAGGTGGGGGGTCTGCAGCTACACTGTGTGTGACCTTTTCTGTGGAGACACAAAGTTTTCAGCTTTTACTCTGTTATCTGTAAAAACTGAATCTAGTAAGTCATGAAAGAATAATGAATTGCTCAACTAGTGCATAGTAATTATCCTACTGGCTCAAAAATCCAAAGGTTGTGTCCTAAAAAATTGGTTTGGTTTTCTTGGGTTTTGGAGGGTTTTTTTCAGTTCAAGGTTCAGCTTCTCCACTGGTGTATACTAATGTAGCTCCATGGATCCAGGCAGTTGTTGCCAATTTACACCAACCAAGATTTTGTCAGAAGGGTGTATTTCTAGTCTTGGTGTCTCAGCTTGCAAGAGCTGTGAAGGCTGCAGAGGCATTGCTCTCCCAGCTGCCGGCACAACCTCAGCAGGGTATATCCCTGGACTCCTGCAGAAGGAAGTGCACTCAGGCCCCAGTTACAAGCAGAGCAGTCACAATACAGATCTAAAAGGGAGGGGATGTGAAACGGGGTGAAATGAGATAATCCATGAAAACGTGGCAAGATACAAAAATCCCAAAGTCACACTTATCTATCATTTTGATAAAGGAAACATACTGGTTTTAAAGCTAATGAAATAAGTTACTGCAGTTTGATTTACACCTTTTAAAATATTTTATTACATTTTAAATAAATGTTTTATTACATTTATAGGAAAAAATTGTAAACCGCCTCCCCACTGCTTTTTGCCCAGCTCTTGCAGCGTATATGCAAGGAACATTCCCACTAAAATCAATGAGAATTTTGCCTGTAGTATGACGTGTTGTCTTCCATTATCATCAAAAGTGTTAACAGAGGGATAGAGACAAACCTTTTGCCTTCACAAGAAGTGTCTTGATATTTTTTTTCTCACCAGCACAGAAACAGGGAAATTTTCATCAGCAAATAATTTTGCAATCATTAAATTAGATTCAAAACATTTCAGTAATTCATTAGATGTGAGATTGCAACAAATGGAATTTTTTTTGAAGTATTACGAAGAGTACCCCTCCCGTTTTTTATTTTTTTTTTTTTTTTCATTTTTAACTTTTATTTGAAAACATAAATTTTGCAAATGTTTGACGTATTTTCTGTAGAGGCATACAGTCTGCTTAACACACCTCCTCCTCCCAATCCTGGCTCCGTACATCAGCTTACTTTGGTATATCCACTAATGTTGTAAATACTACAAAAAAACCATATTTTCACTTAAAAAGAATTTATATATTCTATATGCTCTCCATCTATACCACAATGACTTAAAATTTATTTTAAATACTGACATATTGTGCTAAGAAGGATATCTAATAAACTAATGGTATTAAAAACCATAAAATCAGAAGTGCAAAGCTGAGGACACTGGTTTTATCAGTTGTGCTGTGTATGCACCAAGACACTAAACCATGTCAGTATTGCACTATAGGACAACTTCCCTGAAGCAGGAAACAGCTGGGAAATCTCAGTACAACAGTGACCCTAGATGGCTAAGAATTCAAGCCATATATATATATATAACAGCCAAGTGATATGCTGTCCTTTCTGTTTCCACTGTGAGATATATGAAAGAATGCTTTTTTATGAATATCATAGATTTTTGTCTTGTAAATTTATTTTCGGTTTTCAATTAAAAAAGACATAAAAGTTGTATGCACAGAATGTGGGTGATTTTCTGGACTAGCATTTGGAAGAAAGTGCTGTGGGTTGTTCTACTAATACTCAACAATACCAGCTATTTTATATATAATGAAGCTATATTCTTTTAGAAACACCTCTTTTGTAAAAGATAATTTAATGGAATTGTCCTGTAGATGATTTAGATTTACAATTCAATCATGATGTAACTCCTTTAAATTATCTGGTTGCATTATTCCCAGTTTGGTGTAAGGTTACTTACAAACAGCCCTTTGATGAGCTCATTGTAAAGTCAGTCTTGCTAATTTAAGTTCCCAAACTTAACCAAATAGTTCTAGTATTCAAGGGCTCTAAGTCCCATGACTCAGACCTCCAAACACTTCAAAGGAAATTCAGTCCTCTTTTCCCTATCAGAAGCCTAACAGTGAAAATCAACAGATGTTTAAAAATCCATATGATCAATTTTTAGAAAAATAAAATAGCAACATTTCCCTTCCTTTAATTTCTACCATGTCAGTTTGCCAATGCATAACTGCAATTATAATGCCTATCCCCTAAAATATCAAGTTATTTGAAAGAACTTCATGGATGTTTTGAAACTCTTACCAATGTGATCTTGCCTCTGAAAATTTTAGCTCTACTATGGACATTTTCTTATGCCCAGTCATGCTAAATATCATGCAGTTTTCAACTGTCTCCTAAATATTAATGGTAGTCCTAATTAATCCTGTGAAATACTTCGGTAACTGAGAGTTAAGATCCAATGGCCTTAACTAGGCTTCATGCAAAATTTACAGAGTTTGTGACTATTTTGCCTATTAATGACTTCTGCTGCTGCTGTAGTAGTAGTAGTTTTAGCTCTGACTCAGTAATGATGTGAGAACTGGCTGCCTGGTCATTTTAGACTTGTGTACTTGTTCATCAAAATGCTCAGATTTCAATTCAAGTCTCAGTTTCATCATTTTGGATTCATTGGAACCTGAAACTGAAAGACTTGGGAACAACCTGGACCAATGGTGTGAAAAGCTGACATATGAATACGATTACTTAACGCTGGAGTTGTACAGAGATGGGCTTTGTTGTGGTAGTTTGACTTCCTCCCTGCATCTACCTGAAATAGTTGACACATGCAGAACAACTCCAAGCAGCTGTCATCAAGTTGACCTTTACACTTAGTCTAGTAGAAAAAAAAGAAAGAAGAATAAGACATGGTAACGCAGTTATGCTTTTGGTCCTGAGGTAAGGCAAAGGCTGTCACTGTCATGTATGAGAGGTATGTGAGCACACAG